TTGAAAATCACCTGTAGCACGCCGAGTTTCATTTCGAGCCGTTCGATTCCCTCCTCGATGACCACACTGTCCAACGAGGCATAAACGGCTTCGCAGCCGAAAGCCAGGAATTCTCTGAAAATGGGAAGGGCTTTAGAGCGAAGACGCGAAACACGCCAAATGGTTCAGTATCTGGTGCTAACTTAATTGGGCGGGGAAACCACGCGGCGGCGCGGGGCTCTGTCCGTCAGCTCCTCCAAGGCCAAGTCCCCCCTCCCGATTGCCCGTACTTCGGAACTGCGACGTGTTGACGAAATAATATTGCCCGTGGAACAGCCTTGGAGGGGCAGACTTGCGCGTCACGCCGCCGCGTGGTCTCTCCTCCCCAACTAAAACAAGTTAGTGCCCAGAAGTTTTCTCACTGAAATATTGCGCAAAAGAAAATGAAAATTTGACCCCAGAAATGGGCCAGTGCACCTTAAGAACCCTTCTTTTCCACAGTGTCCACTGCCGTAACGTGCGCGCTATCTCAGCTCTTTTAGCACATTTTAGCTTGAAATGATCTATTCCTAAAAACTGAAGTGCGTTTGGCTTTTCAAAGGACAAAACAGAATATCAGTAAAATTGGAGCCATCGCAAGATAAGGGGCTCTAGGACTAAGCCTATAAGAGCACAGAAATTTGGGGTTAAATGAAAATGCTCAGTTACGCTGGATCTCTCAGCCTTCCCGCCTGGGCTTAGTCCTTTTTTAACAAAAAGAACATGTTTTATGCAGTTTCGAGCGCATTGTCCCATAATGCCCCCGCATCTTGCGATAGCGCAGAAAAATTTGATATTACAGCCAAATAAAGTTGAGATGTGCATTGAAGGTACAACCAAAGCAGGAACTGGGTGGACAATTTCCTCTGATTACTGCCAACTTTCGCAGCGATTTCAAGCATTCCGCGAAAATAATTGACATTTATATGAAGCTAATATGAGAGTATTTGGCTTCCCCGACCGACGTTGAGGATTTGCTCGGTTCACTTCTTTTTTCTGCTGAGCACCATCTTCCTCCTCTTATTCCTTTGATCCTTTTATGGAGGTTTTTCGTCCCTTTCTTTTCACACCACACTGTAATTAAATGCCTCTGGATTTTGATAAGAATACAGAATGAGCCAGAAGGTAGAAATTTCTTCAATAACTGGTAAGCTGATATTTTCAAAATCATCCTTCTAAAGGCGCGAGCCGTAACCCTTTCACTATGGTCTACTAGAAATATCTCTATGGTCACGACAATCCGGTGGCAGCCAACAACTTCTGCAGACGTTCAGGGGGCATCATTTCTCGTCATAGCCTATTCCAATTGTGCCAGCGCCCTCGATCATGAAAACTTTTTTCCAGACGAGCTGTGTGTCAGGCTCTTTATCATCACTGATATTACTGCGATAATATTACTGTGATATTACTACCAGGGAGCTAAAGTGACTTAAAGCAACAGTTCAGGAACGGTTTCGCGGGAAAAAACCACCAATAATGAAGTTGTAGATGAAAACCAGACGATTAATGTATGAAAAACTGGAAAAAAACGTCGGGGAGGGTCTTAGACAGGTACTCTCCCTCTGCCGCTCAGCAATGGATAAAGACGCACGTTGGACGAGTTGTCTGAACGTGCCCGCTGTAAACGCGCTCCATTTTTCAATCAATTTTCCCTGTGGTCCCAAAACGAGCACGATTGCCGACGCGTCCAATGACGGCCGGCAAGGGGGCGGCATTGGGGAAATCCCCAAGAACTTCGAGGGACTTTCCACCCTGTTTTTGAGTTT